TCATCAACAAGAGTTTCGGCTGAATCACCTGACTGGTACTCGGGGTCTACAGCCGTCCACCTTGTCTGAGCCATTCTGTCCTGCACATGAACAGAGACGACCGGATTCGCAGAAGAGTAAGGGAGGTCCAAACACCCCCAAACGGCATCCCCAGTCCTAGATTCAGCCATGTCCGGTGACCGGTTGACAACTACCCTAGGCCGTGCCGTGTGTGTGTTGGGTGAGTCAATTATTCTCTAACAACCAATATAGCCGAAAAAGCTCAAAAAAAGTTGCAAGGGGCAGAGACGGTACCTTAAAGTTTTGAAAAAACTTGGAAGGAGGTTGACTCCTTTAAGCTAGCATACGGATCTCTGATTTGTTGCTTAAAGATACCCCAGACGGTGCCCGGATGTACCCCTTTGAAGAGCAACTGACTTGTAGAAGATCCAACCATTTTCTTAAAATGTGGCTTGAAGATACCATAGGCGGAAGAGACCGGCTGTGAGTGTTTTGAAAGCTAAAGAAAATAAACGGATGGTCAGGCGTTTTTGAAGAAAATTGCTTGAAGATGCCCCAGACGGTAAAAGACCAGTTGTGGGTCTATTGAATGCAAGAAGAAAAAATTGACTAAATCAGACGGTACCTTAGTAAGTTGAGCAAAGAGCACTCAAACGATATCCGGATGTGTCTGAAAAGAGGGAGCTGGTTAAATGCAAAAGCAGCCGGTGTTAGAGCTTTTTTCTCTCAAGGAAGTTTTTGCGAAAATTTGAAAAGTGTGAAATGTGAGGAGGAAACCTCCTATTTATAGGAGGGGGAAGAAGACGAACCGTCACCTCCCCCTCCAATTCAAATTCGAAATCTCCCATTTATAGGAGGGGGAAGAAGGCGAACCGTCACCTCCCCCTCCAATTCAAATTCGAAATTCGAATTAAAAAAATAAATAAAAAATAAAAAATGGAGGGAAGGAGACGAACCGTCACCTTCCCAGAATGTGACACGTGTCACAGGTGCCACGTGGCAAGCCACGTCACACCTGTGAGGGGCAAATGTTTGGGGTAAAATTACCCTATGCCACGTGGCCCAATGACACGCTGACACGTGTCAGCCCTCAGAGAGCTCCAATGGGATCCAATTGGATGCTGACACGTGGCACGGTAACCCTAATAGGGGAACTGATCCTCTTCTACTATAAATAGAGGAAAATCCTCATTTATTACACATTCATAAATACAAACACAAAAACCGAGCAATATTAATTGCAGAATTCTCTCTGAATTAGAGAGAAAACTCATGTACTTTCCGCACATTTATTCATCCGAAGACGTTCTAACTTGATTGTCGGAGGCGGAACTCCTCCCAACCGGGGTTTCGTGATTTTGTAAGTACAGACGGTCGGCGCGCATTCCCGGAATTTTAACTCTCCCGAGGGACTCCAAAAACCCCGAAACAGCTGGTATTTAACAGCCGGAAGTTTTGTTATCTTAGTTTCATTTGATCAATTCAAACGGCTGCGAGCTTGCCTTTTTTAACAGTCAGTAGGGCCATTTGTTTTAAGTTTATAAAGCAATGTGCCACCTGAATGGGAGATGCTCTCTGCGACGAATTCACCCAAATGGGCGTCACCGGACGCCTCCTCATGTTGGAGCAAACGGATTGTTTTATTTATTAAGATCAGCCGGCCATTGGCCTCAATTTGATCATTCCAGCCATTGGCCTGAATTTTATCATTCCGGCCATTGGCCTCAATTTGACCATTCCGGCCATTGGCCTCAATTTGATCATCCGGCCATTGGCCTCATTTAGTTGTTCTAAAAGAAACAACACATAGCCACTAAGTTGTTTAGACTTAGCTTATAACTACTCATGTTGGAGCAGATGGTTGATTTAGATTTTGCCGCCTGCACATTGCACAAGCGGTGCTTCTACTTAACCAGTTCATCATACTTTTTAGACCTTTTTCGGTCGGTATGCTGCCTTTGAGGGAGACTTAAACCAATATTAAATGCTTTCAAAAAATCAAGTAGAATGCGGTCCTTCTTAGACCGTCTAACTATTGAAAATCAATCAATAATAATACGGAAGCACACAAGGCTTATACTGAATTATTAGAATGGTACCTTTTGATGGAGGATTTTTGTCAATATGCTGGACGACATTGAGATGCCCGCGGTCATGAGACCCAGGACACCAGGGCTCAGGAAACGAATTTACTCTCGAATTATACAAACGACTCTCTATTGAGATGCCTCTTTTTTTTATCATAATCATAATAATGATTTTTACAATCACAATAATAATGATAAAACTTGAACACTCATGCCAACCGAGCTATAATATGCGGTTTTCAACCATGCCGCTTGCTTTCAAGCTCGACCTCGAACTCTATTTATTTGGCAAGGCAACCACACACTCGGTCATTACCCATGGCATTTCATGAGGTTGCATTGACCCATATACATGCGGTAATGATCAAGCCATACATACGGCCAATCTATTAGCTTCGAAGCCACGCTTGTGCTTACACACGGAGGCCGCCTCATGATAAGGCCGGTTGTTTCAAATGTTTCGCTTCAAAGACTTGTGACAATGCCATTAAGTGCGGCTGCTCATTGATCATTGCACCCACAGCCGGCTTCAATGGTGTAGCAAGTATCACCCAACCGGATAGCTCGTGGCTCAAACCACATACATACAGCCGGCTTCAATGGTGTAGCAAATTAAGCAGGGTGCCGCCTATATTCAAAGAAGAGCCTAGCACTCAAGCACCCTTAATCATGCCGCTTGTTATTGTCATTCAAGGTGTTGGCATTGAAGAGGCGAGTGCTCATGGCTGCTGCCCCCCAAGTGTCGTTTGTATATTATTGGCTGGTCTTTAATGAGTGTCGGCTATGCGAGCCTCACTTGAGGGTTAGTTTTATGGAGTTGAAAGCTTTCTTGCATTGAACTCGGCATTTGGCTATGTATTTTTGGAACGCCTGCCTCTCTTGAAAGACCGGCTCTTGTGCCAGGGGGAGGCTTTCGAATTCTCACGGCCACCACAATGCCGCATGGTGCTCGACAACTTAGAGGCCACCTCTCCAATTTCCCACGGCCTTGCTGCCATTTAAACAGGTTGCTCGAACTCACAACCGGTTTTGGTAGTTTGCATTCTAGCCGAATGCCTTGTTGCTGACCATGGTAATACTCCATAATGAAAATGGTAATAACAACTCACGCACCCCAGCCGGCCTCGATGTTACATTGATTTAGTGCCGGATGCCTTTATTAGCGTGCTGGATGCCCAGCTCATATATACAGCCGGCTTCATGGTAAGTGCCAAGGCGTTTACCCGGCTGTGCTGTTCTCATAGAGCCGCCTCCCTCATGCGTGATAAGGGTGGCTGTTATGATCACACAAGGCTTGCTTGGTAACGATGGCCATTCGGCCCATGTCTTTGTGTATACAGCTTGCTTTCTTTATTTAGCAGCCTGGCCGGATGCTGTCTGGTTATAAGCTGGTCGGCTGCTTGATTTAACTTGCTTACACTAACGGCTTCAATGCTATCTTCTTGGACATCCAGCCTCTAAATGCCGGCTGACACTGTACTATTGACAACCGCATAGAGCAGTAGCAACCACTGCACTCCCCACAGACGGCCACCAAATGTTTCGGGGTTTTTTAGATGTCCTGCGGGAGAGTTCAACACCAAGACTGACCTCCGGCTGCATGTACCTGCAAAACAACGGAGACTCTCGGGGGTGTGAGTTCTGCCTCCGACGATCAAGTTTGATCGCGTATGAGGAGTAAAGTGCGGAATGTAAATGGGATCAGGCTCCTCTTAGGAAGAGGAGTGATTATCCGGCTATCTGAGGCAGCCTCAATATCTGAGTGTTTCACTCTCTGATTTGTGTGGATGAATGTGTATTCAATTGAAATCCCCCCTCAACTGATGTAAATGATCAGTATTTATAGAGTTGTTGGGACAGGTGCCTCTTCGGTTATTTAACCTAATTTGATGGGCTTCCACTTTTTTTACGGTTTCTAGGGTTATGGGCTTAAAGCCCGTTTTCCCCTTTGAATGACACGTGTCATGCTCTAATTGGCTCATTGAGCGCTGATCTTAGGGACATGTATCGCATTAGCATAGGTCCATCTGTCAGGGGTTTTTTTACCCCAAACAACAACCTCTTCTCTTTTTTCTCTCTTCTCCCTCCTCTTTTTTTTCATGTTTTAATTTTCTTGGTCGTTTGCCATAAATAGTTTAATTTCTTCGAAAATAGTCTAATTTAATTCACTTATTTGTTATTTTTTTTGCTTTGCTTTGTTTTGTTCTCTTCGTTTGTTAAAGTTTGTCCCAATTTTTTTGGGTTTTTCCCACCTTTTGGAGATTTTGATTCTCATCTATAGATGAAAATTTTATTTTTAGGGTTTTAGTAATAATTGAGAAGGTAATTTGGATTCATATGGGTTTAGTGTTTGTCATCAACCCTATGATCAAAACATCAGCGCATATTGCGAAAGTCTCTACCTGGAAAGATGCAAAGACATCGAAAATCACTATTCACAGCAAGTCAAGTTTGAAGCAGTGGAGTGTGAGTTATACCCAATATGCAAAATAGTTATGATTTGATTGTAAAAGTTATGTTATTTTCTCTAGATACGTTGTTTACAAATCGTTATTATTATTGTAGATGTCGTATGGGTATTTAATGATAATATTCTTCTTCCTGTCAAAAAATAAAAAATAAAAAAAAATAAAAAGTAAAAAAATCCTAATGGGTTTGGGTTGGATTGGATTTTCATAATCTTAAACCCGAGTTATAATTCAAGTTTTATAGTTTTTGTGTCAAATCCAAATCAAAAACCAACTTTCATTCCCATCACTAATTGCTCTTTTTATAACTGGTACTTCGTATTAATTAGCTTATGATTCCCACTTTATTTTCGCTTTTGTTTCCAGCACAAACAGTTATAATACATGGTTAATAAATCTGTGGTTATTGCTGCTCTTTCATTCAGTTTCAGCTGTTAATAGTCATTTGTACTGATCAACCATGTCTCGAATTATATCTGTTTCGATTATGACTACAATCAGTTTTTTCTACTGAGGCAATGCTTCCCTCCCAACGGAAAGAAAAGTACATTGACAGAGGCTTTCAGTCCTGCTAATCGAAGTAACTTTTTGCAACATATTTACCTCACGTACAGCCAAAGTAAGGATAAATAAATAGCAAGTGGCAAAAGAAGGATCTATAAAACAAAACAGCCAACATACACTCTGTTTTTCGTATCTAAAACTAGTAAACGGCAACATAAAAAAAAATTAATAGCTGCAGCTCAAACACGGTTGTAACCCACAGACTTGCTAAACAGTTTACGAATGTAAACAACTTGAAGCCCACTAGCTGCTATCAGCATCAGATATTCGGCCAACGTATAAAAGATGACACGCTTTCTAGTGCTCTCGTTTGCTGCAGCAAAGAAACATGCAAAATGAGTTCAGCTAGGTTGCAAACAACAAATACATAAAATAAAAAATAAGCCAAATCAACTACTACCTCTGTTTCATATTAGTTGCAACTTTGAAATATTTTATATCTCACAAATAATACCCCAAAGTTGCAACTAATACGAAACGGAGGTAGTAACTAGTATCGATGCTGATGCAAAATATTGATAAGTTACAACCTTGTAATGATAAGAGAAGCTTTTTCATGCTTCAAAGTGAAAGGAACGTGAACTAGAGGGTAGTATCCAAGAAGAAGAAGAAGAAAAATCCTATTCACAGTTTTCTCAGCAGTCAAATTACAACGGACAATGTAATGCATTGAAAAGCAGGAAATTTGAAGCTTAAACTGATTAATGTAGCAAGGATTGTAGGTATATATTTCAACAGAAAGGATCTAAAAAATGTTTTGAACCAAGTGGGGATCCAGGGTCTAAAAAATGTTTTGAACCAAGTGGGGATCCTCACACACCAACACCTTCAATTGAAATCCATCAGAAATGGCAGTTGAAACATAAGTCAATAAAAACAAATGAACTAAAATGCTCCACTGAATTTGCTCAAGAACCCATCTTATCTCGGATAATTAAGAGTGGGTTCCAGTCATGGAGACTTCTATAGTTCCAAAGAAGGTTACAAGTATAAATCAATGTGGGGTTGTTTTAAGTGATATGTGGCTTTTTACTGCTCAAGGAAGGTCTCGAGTGCAAGCCCTACCGTACGCAATATCCCCATTGGGAGACTCGCCCACCAAAGGCCAGGTGCCTGACCTGGGTCAGATCCAGATGCAGCCAGGGCATAAGCTCCAGTGAATCGGGTGGGCAGCCATAAATAAGAGTATATAAACAGCCTTACTGGGATCAAAGAATGGCCAACCTAATTGTCCATGTTTTATGTAAAGGAGAAAGCCAATCTTTTAAAGAAACAAAATTGGGCATATAGTTTAAGGTGCATTATTCATTTTCCTTGTGATCATCAGCATGAAAAATGCTTGAAAGATGAGACGTAGAAATATTCTGGCAGCCTTGGACCCTTGGTTGGTATAAAAGAAATTCAATATGTTGATGAAATCAAAGGATATTACTTCAAAGCAGTAGTAGAAAAATTCTTGCAGCTCAAACACAGTTAAGAAAATAAAGACTTAATTGTATCAAAGGGGTGCTAGATGACTAATAGATATTAGCAATCAAATCTGCACATTTGTAAGAAGCCACTGGGTTCTCCTGGGATCAGATCTAAAACTCTAAATGAATGCGGTAACAGAGTCAAAATAGTGATTTAATCCTCTATCAAACCCGTGTATACTCCTTATATATCCGCTGAAGACAAATGTATTAAGAGATCCAGTCAATACATTAGATGGATAATAACAATTTCTCTTCGTCTATTCCCTTTTATCTCCAATGCTACATCACATTGTAAGCCCACTTTCTCCATGTCCTTTTTAACTCCCTTCATTCATCTTTGGCCTTCCTTGACTACAATTGTAATCTCCAATAACCCAACTCTCCACCTCATCGACATCTTACATACCCAAACCATCTGATTCTCCCTATCTGATTCTCAATATCTAACTCCAACTTTCATCCAAAAATCTACATTTCTAATGTTATCCTCAGTGTAACTTTCCTCCAAAAATGTACATTCCTAATGTTATCCCTCAATGTGTTCTCACACATCTCTACTATACTCATCGTATAATGTTTTTCTTCATAAGCTCCAAACATTCCAATCCGTACAATAATGTTGGTCTAATTGTCTTCTTAAAGAATTTCCCTTTTAAGCTTAATAGGTACATTACGATCACAAGATTACCCGGACAATCCCTGCTTTGCTCTCCATTTGAAACACCCAAACTTAATTATATGAATTACGTCCAGATCAATGTCTCTTATTTTGTAGAATCAACCAGAGGTACTTAAAACATTCATTAACAAGTAACTCCTTATAGTCTATACCATCCAGTGTCACAACTCACATCTTAACCTGACCCCTTTTAATGCTAAAATGGCACTCCATGTACTATGCGTTAATCCTACCAAGACTAACCCTCTAGATTTTAGTTTTTAAAGCCATGTCTCTAACTTAACAGTAACCCCAGGGGTCCCCAGCTTTTGTTTTATCTACCAAAACGAATCATCTGCAAAAAGCAAACACCACAAACACCTCATCTTGTATAGACCTTGTTACTTCATTCAAACCTCTTGTGAAAAGGAACGGCTTAGGGCTGACCCTCAGTGAAATCCAATTGTAATTGGAAAATTCTTTGTTAATCCAGAACTTATCATATGTTTTGGATAGACCTTGTAAAGATGATGTTTACAGTAAACCCATAAAATTTAACAAACCATTATCCAATATTTGGGTGGGGGTTTATTCAATATAACACCTTATACCTATGTCAAAGTTCATTAAAGAAAAAAACATCAGATTAACTCTTTAATCCTTAAAACAAAAGAGGTGGCTGGTCCTTGGAGCATGGTGAAGATAAACCAACAAAAAACTATCAAACTTCAAAAGATCACTAAACAAGGTGCACAACAAAGATGCAGAAGACCAGCTGACTAGCCTTTATGTTCATCTCCTTATTTCAATAAAACACTGAATTTTAATGGAAAGAAAAACAGGAGAGTAGATCAGTTAGAAAATTCAGATGTTTTCATTTGGTCATAGTAGGTTCAAGTCTTATGGACACTCTAATAAGCCAGGAAGACGTTCAAGATAAATTCAGTCCTACAATCACAGTGATTATCCCAAAGATAGATTTAAATTAATTCAAAGACAGATCCCAGACCTTATAATGAGGTCACAGCTTGAAACTTTTAAAACATTAATTGACAATTCCCCTTTATTTTCATGTTAAATTATTTCTGTTTCCATGCAACCTAGACTCTCAGTTGGCTTTGGCATGTGTACAACATAACTTTTTCAAACAAACTAGAATAATACATAGATTAGAATATAATGATTTCTACAAATAAATCATAGTATACTAGCATGGATTTGAGGAATATGGCAATCTGTGGGATTCCCTATAGGCAATCCTGAGATTCAGAAGCTGTGGTCCTCTAATTCTTCGGTGACCAATTCTTTCATGTAATACAACCTTCACCTTCTCTCACGAAAAAAAGAAGTAATCTTGCAGTTAAATGTCAAACCAGTAAAAAATCACAAAGTTCATAATGCCCATGCGCCCGTCTCACAGTTTAAAAGAGGACAAGAAAAGGATAACATTATTGTAAATTGGTATTAGCATTCATAGAAAACAATAGGAACTTACTATGACGATGACGTGTATCACGTGCTTTCAAATACTTCTGTTCTGCCGTTACAGACTCCAGTGCTTCTCTGAGCTCAGCAATTTGGACATTGATTGGGTCCAAGTGCTCTACATGGCAGTACAACAACGTGTAAAACGTGAAAGACTGACAAAGGTATAAGAACATAAGCATACTCTCTAAGGGAAAGAATACTTAATTGATGGAAACATTCACAAACCATCTTTTGCAATATTATGCTCGCTTGGAATATGGCCAACGTGAATGTAGAAAGAGACAGTCTCTGGTGCTGAGTATGGATTGTGAAAACAGAATTTATACATCCCACTTCGGGGAGCTTTCAGTTCAAACTTGTCACCAGCTGTTCCTTTCTGAGTGTGGACAACATTACCTGCCGGAGATGTCACCTGCAATGAATCCACAATAAGCATGTTTGAGCCAATCCAGCATTTGGATACAACTGGAAAAAAAAAAAGTACAGCTAAGAAAGCACACATGCTAGGAAGGTCTCCCAAAATCCTCACCAGAGAGTGAAAGCATCTTACATATTATGTTAGACAAAAAATAGCCGTGGGGAGGGGGGGGGGGGGGTTACGCTTAACTTTTAGATGTGCTGTGGACTGCGTTTAGTTTTGTAATAATCCACTAATCATCTAATTGACTAATGCGAGAGTAAGACCAGAGTGTGACTTGTGCATACCATTATTATTATTATGTTGCCACGCCTAATCTGCTCATTAACGAGGCTAGGAAACCATTTCATGGCTACAGCAGATTTATCAAGGAACATGCTTAGATGTGCAGATGATTCTTGACATCCAAGTAAACAATCTTATTCATTTAATGAACAGTGATTTTTTTCAGCTATAAGACTCCTTGAATGGGGTTGACAAGTCAAGAAACTCAAGACTTAGACTTTCAACACACAGTACACATTCTAACACCCTCTCTCTTTATTTATTACACTAAGATTCATATCATGAAGAAGATTACAGCAATTTGATCATCTGGAAACCCCTGTTCAGAAGCATTACACTGAGGCTGACAAGGACATATACTGCCTTAATGAAGAGTTAGTTTGACTAAGCTTCCCTTTTACTTCTATCCTGAAATTTTTGTTTCCTATTTTTTGATTTATGATGTATCAACTACATTGGGCATATAAATATAATCAATATTATTAAGATGGACCATTAGATACATCCAATTTGATAAACCTTAGTACATAACCATAACTCGTAATGATATAAGATTTGTCCATAACGTTTTTAGAAAAAGAATCTCATGTCAATGTCCATTGTAATACAACTCTACCTCAAATATGTATGCATGTATGTATATTTTTTAAAATTTTCATTCCTACTTGTTACTACTTGGAAATGTGATTTGATTGGAAATAAAAATTTGTAAAGCTAAACACATATTTGGATATGTAATGTATTATTCAAAGCATTACTATGGACTTTGGCATGTGATTTTCCAAGCAAAAAAACACATGGATTCATCACCATAAGCCCATTACTATACTCATTATCTTCAACCAAACAGGCACATAAGTAATGTCAATAATTCCGGAAAACATCAAGTTCAAACACCAAAACTTGAACTTTAATCGGCATCATCTCTAAGCTAATGGCAAAAGCTCAATTGTACATCGTAAAGCTTTAATTTATAATGAAAGTGTCACAATATATTAACTTCTTGTTACAACGTATTAAATCGAAATAGATGGATTAACTTCAAATGCTTCTAATTTTCTCCGGTACTACAGCTGAAACCTCATCAAAAAAATCACTAGCTATTACTCGTAAAAAACACACATTGTAAGCTGGACATGAGCTACATCGAAGTCTAATATACGCAACAATGAACCAGAATTGCACTGCCTTTCCCAATATCTTACTCAGTACAGGCATACATGTATTATGAATCAACATACAAATATAATCTTGTAAAAAAATTACATTACCCTATAATTTTCTCCGATACTACGACTGAAAGCTCATCAAAAAAATCACTAGCTATTACTCGTACAAAACAAGCATTGTAAGCTGGACATGAGCTACATCGAAGTCTAATATACGCATCAATGAACCAGAATTGCACTGCCTTTCCCAATATCTTACTTTGTACATGTATTTTGAATCAACATACAACTATAATCTTGTATAAAATTACATTACCCTACAATTTCGAGTCAATTAATAACTATAGAAACAGAAAAAAAAAGAAAAAAAAAAAAAACCTAAGCAAATTATTCAAAGATAATCCACCAAAATATTTCCCAAACGTGCATCTTAAAAAAAAAAAAAAAATAAAACAAAATTGAAATTTATGTAATTTTTCTACAAATTGAAGATAAACAATAACCGCAATAGCCCTAATCAACTAAAATCATCAATCAAAACATCAAAAATCAACAAAAAAAATCAGAAATTGTAGGAATTAGGGATAAACATACAGTGAAATCGATCCCAGGGTGATCGGAGCTCCAAAAAATATCATGATCAACAACAACGAAGTTTCCAGAAATTTTGTCGCCTTCGTAAAGAACATATTCATAGATACATTCGACATCGTTAACAGTGACGGAGAGAGCAGAGATGTTCGAAACATAGCAGCTTAATAAGAGTCCAAGTATGGTGTAGATCTGTATCAATCGATTTCTCTCTCCTTTGACCGCCATATTTCCCGGCGAATTCCGATTGTTATCCGGCGAAGTTTGATTTGACGGAGAATAGAAAGGGAGGATGTGGAGAAGAATTGTAATGTTGGTTTTTTTTTTACGGTGTCGTTTGTTTTTGTCATACAAAATTTGTTTACTTGACGTGGCGATTTGTGATTGGTGACTACACGTATGGGAACATGGCTTATACCGGAGTAATAGGACTCGGACAGGAATACAAGTTGTTTAATAAAGAAACTAATTTGTGATTGGAACGATGTCTTGAGTTTTGATTAAATATCATATGAAAAAATTACCTTAATTTTAAGGAAAATTTGTAAATTACCGCCCATAAAATATATCAATTTTGATATAACCATCCAAAAAAAAATATTATAAAATACCACCCACTAATTTAAAAAAACACTCAAATGACCACCCAATTTGAATTTCCGGTGGAATTTCCGTCAATGGGCCCCACTTTTTTTATTTTTTCCTTTTTTTTCTTCTATTTTCTGGCTTTCTCACTCTCTCTCCCCGATTTTTCACTCTTCTTCTTCCTACCTTCTTTCTTTCTTTTCCCAACCACCACCACCACCATTGCTCCACCTTTCCCCTCCTCTTCCCCCGTCGCGCCTGCCAACAACCCGCAACAACAACATCAACAAACAACCACCAGTTCAGCCACCATAATTACCACCAGTTCGCCTACCGCAAACACCAATACGGCAACCTCTGCAGCCCGCAATCACCAATTGGCCCTACTGTAAAGAGCAATTCGGCAGCCAATTACTCCAATTCCGGGATTTAATTGCAGCAATTTGGCAAAGAACATCTTCAATTCGATTTAGGGTTCATGCTTCAATTGAATTGGGGGTTTTCTTAAATTAGGGTTCCTATTTTAAGAAAACCCCCAATTCAATTGAAGAAAACCCACAAACCGCAAGGTGCTAGTGCTGGTCGCGGTGACAGCGGTTGTGGGTAGCCGGAGAAGTGGAGGAGCTGCGGTGGAGTCGGGGGTGTTTATTGTGGTGGTTAGTTGAAGGTGAAAATAGGCAGGGGTTATTGTGTATGGTGGAGGAGCAGGGCAGCAGTTTGATTAATACATGTTTCTTATTGCTTTGCAATGTTATTTATGTTCATTTTCCTGTGGATCTCAGTGCTGGGCTAGCTGATTCATTACTTGCATATGTATACCTTTGTCTCTTTCTTTGTTAATTGTGATTGTTGTTTGCTAAATCATGACATGACCCTTGTCTCCATAAAGTCTCGACCTTATTCGCTGCTCTCCTGTTGTATTCCTTGTGTGCATTGTGATTAGGGGATTTTGCTCCCACCAATCGGAATGCGCCACGTGGGCCAATCAGGTCCTGCCAAGTGTCCCCTAGTTGGAACTGTCAGGGCTTGCCACGTGGCACGCGCTTATTCGTCCACCTTGGACCTATTATGTCATGACATGTGGCATATTCCATGCCTAATGGAGAAACCGGCCACCCAGGCCCAATTTCCGAGGGAAGCCCAATCAGCCCTAGGTTAACCTAAACCTAGGATGGGCACATTTCCCAAGGTTATAAATACCTCCCTTAATCCTCATTAAGGGGGATTACGAAAAAACACATTAATTACACACAGTAATAACCGGCTGATCTCGCTAACAAAGCAGATTACCTACATTAAACACTCTCACCTAGAGAGACCCAATCACTTTAATTTCCGCATTAATTACTCCTTAATCAAGTACTAACTTGACCGTTGGAGGCGGAGCTCCCACCACCAGGAGTCTCCGTTATTTTGCAGGTACAGGCGTCCGGTTCCAGTCTCGGAATTGTAACTCTCCCGCAGGACATCAGAAAACCCCGAAACATCTGGCGCCGTCTGTGGGGAGAGTACTTCTGAGATGGCATCCAAGTCTGTACCGACTCCTGAAGAGAGGCGTCCCCTAGACGACCCTCAAGTTCAGTCGGACCATGATACCGAGAGTGAATTTGAAGTTGAAGCTCACACAGCTTCAGACGGGACCCTAAGGGCCCGACGTACCCGTCATACCGAAAGGAGGGAACGGGAACATCTTCAAACTGGAAGTGAGCCAGCAGGCGCACCGCCTGTTCGGCAACAGCCGACTGATGGGTCTGCTCCCATCACAAGGAACGAACTCATGACCTTCATGAGGAACTTCAAGGGAGAGATTCAAGAGTTGATCAACAAGAAGTCGCCTGCTCCAGTCAAGGAGCAGTCGGCTAAGAAACCCTCCATTTCACTGAAGAGGAAGCCAGTTCAAGGGCGAGAGGCGACTCCTCATCCTAAATCTAGGAAGCGGGAGCCACCTGCCCTTGATTTCACAAAATTCCGTTTTCCTACAGGAAATAGGAAACCTGTTCGTCATATTCAGGCGGACGGGTCGAAGCAAACATCACAGACGCTCGGCTACTGCTAGAGTAGAAGAAGAGTGACCGATTGTCAGAGTCGGCCTCTACTTCAAACTTTCAAGACAGTCTGCGAAATGCCTCGATGAGGCATACTCAGTCGTATCATGAGAGTCATTCAGGCGGCACCTCCCGTCAGTCAGGCTTTCATAGCGACCAGGCGGTACCAAACTTACCATTTGTCCCGCAACAACAGTATTTTTTGCAGCCACCTCCGTTTGGTGGACCTGCAGCAAAAAACGTCCAACCTATGGACTGGCAGCTACGGTTGCTTAGACTTGGTGAACAGCCGTCGGCCTTCTCCAAGGAAATTACTGAAGCCGCTCAGCCGGCCAAAGTGAAAAATGTACTAGTAGGCGCCTATGACGGCACTACTAACCCAGAAGACCATCTGATGGCATTCACCAACCTGATGTACCTTCAAGGGTTGGATGATCCCACTTGGTGCAAGTGTTTCCCAGCGACCCTCAAAGGAATCGCACAACAATGGTTCGGCAACCTGCCGACTGGTTGTGTAAATAGCTTCAGGACGCTTGCTTACTTATTCACCTCCAACTTCGCCATGAACATCCCTGCGAAGAAGACGACCCTTGATTTAGGAACAATTCAGCAGGGCGAGAAGGAGGGGCTTCGTTCTTACATCAGGCGGTTTAACCTGATGAGAATACAGATTCAAGGGTTACCGGATGAGGTAGCCTATACTGACTTTTTCAGAGGTCTCAAAGACGGGTCTACCTTCAAATTTGATTTGGTTCGAAAGAGGGTGGCGACTCTTCAAGAGGCCTTGATTGAAGCAGAAGCCTATATACAGGCGACTGATCTTTGTACGGCTAAACAGTCGGACGGGAAAAGGTTTGACAAAAGAGAAGGACGACAGAAACAGTCGTCAAACAAAGATGAGAAGAGAAAAGAGGTCTGGGCGGCTGATTCCTCTAAACATCCGGCCCAGAAAACGAAAAAAGAATTCAAACCATACTCCCCAAAGTATGCGTTTAACAAAGATAACCAGTTTATCCTTAAAGAAATCAAGGGACGGATCTCAATTGAGAAGCTGGTCCCCATGAAGGGTTCTGCAAACAACCGGAACCAAGATAAATTCTGTGCTTATCATGATGATGTTGGTCATCACACCAATGACTGCATCAGTCTCATGCGGTATCTGGACCGCCTGGCTGAGCAAGGTGATCTTGACACTTATGTCAAGAAATCTACGGGGAACACTTCCTCAAAAAAGCAGTCGGCCAAAAAGAATCAACAGGCCGACAGCTCCGATACAGATGATGCAGTCGTCTACACCATTGCAGGCGGCTTCTCAGGAGGCGGCCCCACTATTAGGGGCAACAAAGACAATATCAGGCGGTTAGATGTAAATTCCGTTCACCAAGAACGGCCGTCCAAATATTCATTTCCTGAGATTGTCATCACTGAAGAAGATCTAGGAGGGGTAAGAGGGCCGCATGACGACCCTATCGTTATTGAATGTAAAGTGGCCAACCAGAGAGTTGGCCGAATCCTCATAGATACCGGAAGCTCCTCAGATCTCATCAGTAGCAAATGTCTGTCGAAACTAAAATATCAGACTGATTGCATACATCCGACCTCCCACCCTTTAGTAGGGTTTGGAGGAGGAGTCGTCCACCCACTGGGACGAGTGGATTTACCCATCCGCCTGGGCGAAAAAGGGGAAGGACGACACATGGTAGTCCGGTTCCTGGTAGTAGAAGAACTCTCGGCCTACAACATGATTCTGGGTCGACCAACCCTGAATAATTCCAAGGCTGTTATAATCCCATCTCTTATGTTGCTCAAGTTTGAGAGGGATAATGGAACAGTCGGCTCCCTAAGGGGAGATTAGAGGATGGCCCGAGAGTGCTATCTCTCGGATTTCAAGCCCACTGTTATGGCCACTGGGTCAAGCGGTGAAAAAACAGACCTTGACAATGTCAAGGAGAGTGCGCCTGTTCAAGAAGCAGGCGGCAAGAAGAGAAAGGCATCCCAGACAGGGGCCGCAAGAAAAGAAAGAAAATAGCAATCATTGGCAGAGGAGCGGTCGGATGAGTTCCGCCCTCAGCCGGCTGGTGAGCATGCGGACCTGATCTTAGACGACTCACGTCCTGATCGAACAGTCAAAGTTGGGACGACTGCTCTGAGAGACCTTGGTGACGACTTTCACAAACTATTGAAAGAATATAAGGACATCTTTGCATTTGAAGTCCATGAAATGCCAGGCATTAGTCCTGATCTGGCGGTACATAAACTGGCCGTGGATCCGAAAAAGAAGCCGGTACGGCAGAAGAAGCCGGTACGGCAGAAGAAGCGGAACCATGGCGAAGAAAGAAGTCAGGCGGCAGCCGCCGAAGTTAAAAAATTACTTGATGCAGGGTTCATTCGGCAATGTTACTTCCCAGACTGGGTTGCGAATGTGGTGCTTGTTAAAAAGCCGAATGGCACCTGTCGAATGTGTGTAGACTACACAGACTTAAACAAGGCGTGCCCCAAAGACAGTTACCCTCTGCCTTAAATTGATAACCTGGTCGACTCAACAGCCGGCCATGCTTTGATGAGCTTTATGGACGCCTATTCTGGTTTCCATCAAATTCCTTTATGGAAGAAAGATCAGGAGAAGACGGCCTTCGTCACTGATCAGGGGTTATACTGTTACACAGTCATGCCGTTTGGTCTTAAGAATGCCCTGGCTACCTTCCAGCGAATGATAAACACTGTGTTCTTTGATCAGATTGGGAGAAACGTCGAGGCATACATTGATGATATGATTGTCAAGAC